CCCCCCCCCCCCCCCCCCCCCCCCCCCCCTTGGGGGGGGGGGGGCAGTACAGAAAAAGGTTTAGCTACCTTGGTCTTAAAGTAGGACTACAATGTAAAATGAGTTTAGGATCAAGGTCAGCTATGTGATGTGGGGATGGTGATTAGGGATGGATAAAGAACCCATACGAGCGGGTGCCTTACAGTATAAGGGGGCCCATTGCTCTCCCCAAAAAGACACTGAGCTTTAATAAAACCTTTGTGTTCCTCGGATGAAGGACACGAGATTAGAAACACTCAAGTGTTCTGAGCTTTTCAGAACCACAAAGGGTCCCCAAAAATTCTTTTCCTCTGACTACTCAGAGCCAGGCAGCAGTCTAAGTAGTACAAAGAGGTCTCTAATTCAATGCCATAGGCATCACACGGACCATTGTCATGGAGTCCCATCACCATTTTGTGGCAGTTGAGTAGGTTGTGCCCAGTTAGGACTCCAACTAGTGCACTTAAAGAGAACTGCTTGTTCTCCTTGTTAGGGCAACAAGGAGAACAAGCAGTTCCTGTGCCTGTCTACAGTCCGTCAGCTTCCTCTAGCAAACTGAGTGTTGGCGTCTAATCCAGGCCTGTAGGGCAGTCCTACAGACTGTTGTTGAGATACCTACAACAAGCTCTGGTCCTACTGGGGTGGTTATGTTTAGAGTAAAGAGTCAGGGTTATGCTATAGAAATTACCAGCAAATGAATGGAAGTCAATCCAAAGTACCATTGAGGATAGAAGAACATATGTATGTGTGTGTGCATGTGCCCTTGTTTTTGGTAATTGGTGGGGACGATTTTTCAGGAAAACACAGCCACGACTTCGGAGGCTGAGTTTGGGTGGTTTAGGTTTAGGTCTAAGGTGTGAATTGAGTTTAGGTTAGGTTTAGGGTCAGGTGAGGTAACCTGTGTGGTTAATCTTAGGGTAAATGGTCAGGGTTAGGATAAGCAATTTCAAAAAAATGAATGGAAGTCAATGGAAAGTACCTATACTTTCCATTCACTTCTCTATTATGTCTTTATGTCTCTCTAACTTCCTGCTGGTTTATCTGGGGGCCCACTGCTACTCAGCCCCTCGGTGGGGCGTGCGGCTGGCCGCCGGCGTGCTGGGGGTTCCCAGGGTCTGGGGCTGGGCGCTGGGGTGTGTGCCGGCCTGGCGACTGCCTGCTGGGGCTCGGGGCCTCTGGCCCTGTCGGACTTTGGCCTGGAGGGGGTGTGCCCTGGGGGCCCGGAACTCTGTGCCCTTTCCTGGATCTGCTCTGGTATGGCGGGTGCCGGTGGGGCCCATGAGTTTGTCGCTGCTGGCCCCGGGGGCTGTGTGTGTGGTCGCTGGGGGGAACTCTCCCAGTTCTCCCCTATGGTCTGATCTGGGGTGTGGGTGGGCGGATCTTGGGGCTCTGCGCTCGGGATCCCTCTCGGGCCCTTGGGCTCTYGTCTTCCCTATGTCTGCCTCGTGTCTTGGGGGTTTGGTCTACGGTCCTCCACAGTCACTATTAATTATTCCATTGGAGAAATCTTGTATATACACGCATGTTCACWACTGCTCACAAACAGGTGTTCTGATCCGGGGGGTTCTGACTGGTCACTGAGTGTGTTTATATATGTCTGTGTGTATATACTGACAATATTTATGAATGTAGGCATGTATGTATGTATATCTTTATATATGTATGGGTATGTGTATATATTTATTTATGCCCTCCATGTATGCATTCATTTATTTTTCAGGTGAGCAGACAGATGTTGGGTGTGTGGTCCTGTGTTTTGTTGGTGTATATTTAATTTACTTCTAATCACTATTTCAATCTTTCTAATTACTTCTCTCTCTGTTTTTCTCTCTCTCTATTTTCTCTTCACTTTAAAAAAAGGTCACTGATGATGAAGAAATAAATAAACTAAATAAACTAATAATATTTGGTTTCATTTTCTACTGAAGTGATAAAAAAAGACAAGGATAGAGAAACATAGTAGGTGTGTGTGTGGGGGGGCTGTTTTTGGTGACATTTGGGGGCAATTTTAAGACAAAACACCTACATTTGGGGACCTAAGTCTAGTCCCCGTTTGGTTTAAATGCCATTGGTGGGTTGGGGGTTCGGTTTAGGACCAAAGTGTGACTTGAGTTTAGGTTAGTTTTAGGGTCAGGTGAGGCTGTGAGGTTAGCCTTAGGGTTTGTTCAGGGTTAGGCTGTAGAAATGTAATGGAAGTCAATGGAATGTCCCCAAATGGATAGCTCTGTGTGTGTGTGTGTGTGTGTGTGTGTGTGTGTGTGTGTGTGTGTGTGTGTGTGTGTGTGTGTGTGTGTGTGTGTGTGTGTGTGTGTGTGTGTGTGTGTGTGTGTGTGTGTGTGTGTGTGTGTGTTATCAGCTGTAGTGGCACAGTAAAAGTCCAGCCACCAGAGGAAGCAGGTTGAGCAGAAGGAGCCACAGAGTGATGGCCAGACCTGGAGAACTGGAGCAGGGATCTGAAAGGAGCAGACTCTCATCAAAGTGTGTTCAAAAACCAGGAAACAGGAACTCACACGGTCTAAACACAGTTTAGATTAAAAAGTGTTTCTTTAGGTGTAAGAGGCACTGACCAATAGGGCCGCTCCGTGTGGTGTTAATGGGCAGCAGCTGGTGGGGCAGGGGGCAGTTGTCACAGAAGTCAGTGCAGGCGGGACAGATCAGGACTCCATTGTAAACCCAGTCGCTGACTCGAACACTGATGGTCAGCAGCTGACCCTTGCGGGTGCAGTGGAAGGAGCGATCCTGAACGTACACCGTCAAGCCCTGAGCTGAGCACGACACCTGCACAGAGAGAGTTTAGTATATTTTTATAGTATATTTACTGCTATACATACAGTATATTTTTTAATTTTTCTCCTTCAACACAGAGTATTTAAATATCTCTCAAACTTGTGGCCTTTAGGTGTGGTTTATGAGGAGATTGGTACTTTGATATTTTTACTAAAAATGCTCATCCATGGTCAGGATGTGGAGCTTAGACCAGGAAAAAAACCCAACTTCTCCCCCAGAGAAGCCCTCCAGCTCCTCCTGGGGGATTCCCCAGTGTTCCCAGGCCCGAGATGCTCTAGTTCTTCTCCCAGCGGTATCTGGAAGTCCTTCAGGGGGAGCCACACACTCAGAGCTCTACCTCAGACTTCCCAGAACTCAGTTAGCAGCTTTGTAAAGTTTTATCGAAATGAACCATAAAACTTCTGGAACAATATCTTCTGATGGGTCAGACCAAAATAGAGATGTTTTTTATAAACGTCAATCATTATGTTTGGTGGAGTAAAAGTACAAATACCACATACTGACTTTTACCATGATGCTGGAGAGACCAGGGGCCTCATTTATAAAGGATTGCATAGAATTCATACTAAAAGTGAAGGCGAAAATGGTGTACGCCAAGAGAAACAGCGTGCATATGCACCTTCAACAATTTTCCTTTATAGATCACAGCTGCACCTCAGAGTTTGCAAACAAGGACTAGTCTCAGGTTCTGCCCTCTACACACCCACACTCAACCATAAATGCTCAATGCAAAGCACCTCATGTTGTTAAGGTGTATTGAAATGAGTCAGCTGATCAATGTCAACAAAAGCAATTGTCCYGCCCAGGCACGCACTCCGTCGTGCATCTAGAGCAGGGTTTCTCAAACTTAATGGGTCTGAGGACCCCTTACAAGTGTGAATACATCCCAGGGGCCATTTTAACCCCTCAATGCCATGGGAATAATTATTGTTTATTTAGTTGAGTACGTTTGTTTTGTTGGTGCATCATTCCCCTATATGCGTTCAAACAGTCTTTAAATGAAAAACAAAATTAATAGTTCCTAGAAATTTATGAGGACCCCCAAGTTAAAGCTCATGGACCCCTGGGGGTCCTGGGAACCCAGTCTGAGAACCTCTGATCTAGAGAGAGGAGGACGGGTGTTGACAACTGCTCACAGCAACAGATTGTAATTTACACAGATTTTCCCTCATTTTGCAGTTATACAGACATTTAGAGCAATCTCAAAGATTTTTTTTTCAAAAACTCAGCATGAAATTTTCTCTCAGAGCCTGTAGGACATTAAAAATAAATAAATAACATTAGATAACCCAAGCGTTCTGCTGCTAAAAACAAGTTCACCACTCTTCTCCCCCGGTTACTCTTGCTTTGCACTGCAGCCTGCGTCATTAAACACGGCTGACCCCCCCACCCACTGCACGTGTGAGAAATGCGCATTTTAAAAAGTGAACCTTAAACTGTATTGCTGTCGAGCTCTGTGTGCATCATCTGAGGAGGAGGGCAACCAGGAGGGAGATGGATGGAGATGCAAAAATATAGTTAGTGTCATGTTCCATAGAAAGTTTTACAAACTGACTGCACCTTGTAGCAACCAGAACCCCAGTCCGGGTACGTCATCTTGCGGGTGCACTGCTCCATCACGAAGGCTGACTTCTGGTACAGACACACAGAGTCTGATCCATACTGCTCTGCTCCATAGTTCCTCCACCAGTCTGAAGAAAACAGCATGCACTCATTTCACAGACAGAACCAGCTTCAACAGTTGGACAAAACAAATGTTTATCAGCTCAATAAATAAATAAATTATTCTGGGCCCAGCTGAGCGAATACTCTTAAAATATAAAATGTAACAAACACAAACAAACTGATATTTGCTGTAATTCAGACTTGATTAAGAACAAGTTCATAGCATATAACTTTCTAATCTTTCTTTTCTAATCTACCTTTAAATCTAAGTTTCCTAACAGGTTTGTCATCATAAATAATCTTTAGTTGAACTGTTTGGCACCTGGCTGGTTCTCTGACACTCTGCAGTACGAGTTTCTCTGGTATTCTCCGCTCAGGTGCCAGCTGAACTCCTGGCTGAAGGGGCAGTAATCAGCGATCTCAATGGCACCTCCGAAGAATGACAGCTGATCAGCTTCAACATCCGGAATCTGATCAAAGTACTGACACAAACACAAACTGGTTACAGCATAAGGCTTCTGAATTGCACACAGAGTGGTGACACTCCAGCAGTACAGCAATCTGCTAATTCCTCACAGAAAAACAAAAACTTGTACATTTTCAGACATCTTTATAGTTTTGTGGATCACCTGGTACTCCAGAGGGAGCTCCTGGGGGTATTTCTGCAGGTTGCAGACAGCCACAGCCAGCTGGTCCTGTCTGCAGGTCAGCTGCAGGGGAGAGGCTCGCACCGTGTTGCAGTACGGAGTCACAGGATGTCGCCTGCAACAGATAAACACTGACACGTCAATGATCTGACTGACTCTTCCGGCTTAAAACATCTAAAAATAAAAAGTTTACAAATCTGCAGGATATACACGCTTAAAGTAATTAAAATAATAATTTAAGAAATACATTACGTTTCTYACTTACTGCTTGTTATTCAGATCTCTGTTAACAGTGAGGTTTTCTCAGCTCAAATAAAATACTTTGTTTTCCAGATTTAAAGTTAAATCAGATATTTTTGTTATAAGAATGAAAAGTCCAAACTAAAGCTTAGTATGACACAAATTAACCTCTGTCTCTGCTTGTCCATCCAGAACTTGCAGCTTTTCATGACAAAGTCACAGCCGAGGCCCCGGCCCCAGTCCAGCCTCTGAGCCAGGCTGTAGTTGGCCCAGTACCAGCCGCTGTCCTCCATGATGGCCAGTGTGAGTCGAGAGAACACCCTGTTCTGGGTGTGAGAGCCCGTCATCGCCTCGTTCTGAGGGAACGATACAAGCAAACACAAACAGTGAAGACGTGGGGGACAGTGTTTGGTACTGGAAGCAGCAGAGAGAAGGAGCAAACCTCCAGCAGTCTCTTCTCCCAGTGATTGAGTTCAGTTCCTGTGCCTCCCTGGTTCTCCAGCTCCATCCCCTCCAGGATGGGACAGTTAAAGTGTCTCCTTGCCTCCTCCTGAAGAAACAACATGCAGCTCAGACACTTTAAATTACTAAATAAAGTCCAGATTTTATCAATTTAACTCCACTGCTGTGAAGTATTCTTAAAAGTCCACATGAAACAAAACATTCAATAAATACATTAAAGGAAAAGTTCAACTATTCTGCAGTAACGCTTTGTGGAAAGGTAGTAGTCATATCTTACCTGTGGTAGATTGTTTTTTGAACACAATCAGTTTGGAGAAATACAAATTTTAGCAGACTGAGGTGCAAAGTCTGAATGTCAGTTAACCAATTTCTTACCAGAAATATCAATAAAGCCCTTCAGGAAATGACCTCTGGATGCCCTAGAATAGCTACAGCTAGCAGCTGCTCCTGCTTACACTTATAATTTATGACATATCTGTGTAATGCAAACTGACAGCAGTGTAAAGGTATCTAAATTAGTGTTGGAATTAACCACTGTGAATATTAACTAATTGTTTTCTAAAATAAGATCCTATGAAGAGCCATATTCCGAAGGGTTAAATGTTAATTGTTTTTTTTAATTACTTTTCCACAGAATTCCCATTTTTAGAAAATCTGAATTATTCCTTTAATCTAATTTGAGTCCTGCATGAAACGGGGCATGTCTTAACGCTGCAGTAGGGAGTTTGGATAAAAATGGTGGACTTAAGCTCAAAATTTGCTCCATAGCATGAACGACCATGACCCCTGACATGACCCCTTGACCATGTTTCCTAAATAACTGAACTTTGGTCTGAAAAAGCTTTCAAGACAAATTCTATATTATTTTTCAATAATTTGTTCTTGTCATGCAAATAATGATGACACGACAGTCTGTTTTAATCTTTATAGAGGAGATAGAGACAGAGGCGGAGCCAGGGGTGGCCAGGGGTGGCCATGGCCACCACAGACAAATCTTTGGCCACCCCATTGGCCACCCTGCTGTACACACCCCTTACACAGTGAAACAAACTTTAGGGGTGCAATAATCCTCCTGAACAGTTGGTGGCAATGTTTAACAGTTTGAAACATCACCAAGCTCTATCACTGAAGAAGAGTAATGACAAGGAAGTGATGATTTTCTTTATATACAGATCATATGACTATTTAATCTGACTTATGGTGTCAACATTTGGACTTAAGGTGATAAATATTTTATTTATTTATTTATGTCATTTTATGCTATGAAGGCTGCATGATGCTCAGTCCCTTTTGATTCTGAGTAGGCCTATCACTAAATCAGAAAAAGTGAAACAGCCCTCTAAAGTCACTGTTGGTGGTTATCAATATTGCACCTGTTCATTGGGTAAAATTATAAATATTACTTTTAAACATGCAGTTGAGGGTCATCATTATTTGGCACAATGACGTGTTACAATTAAAAATAAATCAATAAACAATATAAAAGTAAAAGGCACCCCTAAAGTCATTGGATATGATAAATTGTGTCACTAACCTTATCTCAGCCATAGCAGTGAGTTTAAATACAGGATGATGGAACTAGTTTAATGAATAATCTGTCTCTGAAATAATTATTCAATTATTCAATTATTTCATACTCTTATGTAGATAAGAGTATGTTTATAAACTTGGTAAAATATGTCAGAATGAAGGAAATGGCATCTATTTTATTCAAAATTTTCTGGGGGTGGACCCCCAGACCCCCTACAGTCTGTCCCCCAACTTTTAAAATGATTCGGACACCCATGTTTATAAGGTAGTCACTGCCTGTATAAATATATGCAGAAACTTTCAAGTAAAAAATGATGTAATATTCCTGGCCACCCCTGTGTGAGTAGTGGTCCCAGTCTGGCCACCCCTGAGAAAAATGTCTGGCTCTGCAACTGGATAGAGATGGACGAGCAAATCATGTGAGGGAAAAAATGATAAATTTTTAATTACTACAAAAGAGAACTGTGTTGACCCGGCGGGGTCTCATAAGGCTGTTTTGAGACAGACAGCCAAGCTATCCTAGAGTTCGACTGACCAAGATCCTAACATCTTATTTCCAAATTGACAAAAACTTATAGGTCTTAACCTGGGTCTCTTGTCAGCTAATTAATAGAAGAAAAATATTTCCTTTGGGGAAAATTATATGTGACCCATCACATCGAAATGAGGATTAAGTCAAATTTGGTCAAAATGACCTAATTACATTTTCAGATTCTTGGCTTTAAAAGCTACATTTTGATACCTGGATCATTCTGATATCATAATTAAATTCATATATGTATATGACTTAATTTGTCTTGTTGGTTACAATAATACATAAATATTTGGTCTGAATCCTAATTTTATGTCATTTTAATGAGAAATTTTTGATGTCCTTATAAAGAGGAAACCTCAAATTATATCTGAATATTGAGATTTCCCAGCTAAAAAGAAGCAAAACTTTGCTAACTCACGGGGAAAATCTCAAAATTTTAAGGCGTTTTTCCTCAAAATCAGGTTTTTTGTTGCTACTGCTCAAAAAAATGCTTCAAAATTTTGTTTTATGATTATATTTCAGACAGTTCATTCAAATGATACATTAATAAGGCTTTTATTCATTATATTTTGACAAAATGCAATTTTTGTTAACATTTTAGTCAAAACACTACATTTGCCTTTTTCTCCATATACAACTTTTGGACTTAATCCTTGTTTCGATGTGATGGGTCACATATTTTCATTCTATAAAGGTTTAAACATCCAGACCTTAACTTAGATGTATAACATCAAGTTTACAATAATTTTCATCTTTAACTGTTTTGAAACCTTATTGCTTCATCTTTCATGTTGTTATTTTACGGTTTCTATTCATGATTCCATTAAATTGATTCTTGTTATTTTTTGTAATAAATTACCATAAAAGACAAAGCTGGTTCCTCATCTTTGAGTATTTTTGGCCTGAGATAAGAATTCCCTGCATATCTTAGGATCTCAGTAAATATGAGTCTGATTAAAAAGGGTGAATAAATATTGATCAGTAAATCTGATCTGGTGCCCCAACAGGGAAGATTATCTGTCTCATATTCAGTCATGACATACTGTTTTAATAAATAGGTAAAACATTTTTTACAAATGTTACCTAGTGCAGCTTTAAGGTCAACATCAGAGATTACCAAAAATACTGCAAGAAGATGGTCAAAAACATACCAAAGGTTTTATATTAAAGAAAATCTGAGACTAAATAAAGGACTAACTAATTAAAGGCCCAAAAATAGCACAAACTGAATGAAGCAGGTCAGGTCCTTACCACAACCCGAGGAGTGACCAGGACGTGAACGTGGTGACGAACCATCTCTCCTCCTCTGATGTCCCACAGTCTGCTGACTCTCCTGATCACCGCCTCGCTCCACTGGTACAGACCCAGACTGACACACAGATTACAGATTACAGATTCTGACTGATGACAGCATGTAGTTTAAATCTGCTCTGCAGTAAGACTGTTGTGGTCCACATCAGACCCATCAGAGACCGAACAGACACATCCCACCTCAGCAGATGGAGGCGTTTGATCAGGTGAAGTATAATACTCACCTCTCATTGAAGGCAGGCAGGCCACTGGCGAAGCGAGGAGTCAGAGGTTTACCCTCATCGTCGTGGTAGAAGGCAAACAGACCAGCTGAAAACCCCTGCAGGACAGAAGACACAGACTATACTGTTCATAACTCATACTGCAGAAACCTGAACCCTACATGGAAAATGGTAGAGTTCAGATGTTTACCAGAGCGTGAATGATCTCGTGTTTGACTGTGGAAAGCATCCCTTCAAACTCCTGAGGCTGGGAGGAGATCATAGCAGGACACAGGTTGGCATATCCTGCTATGGGTCTGAAAACACATACATGTTGTTAATGTCATGTAAATGGTTTGAGTTTTATTTTTCCAGATAAGAAGACACAAACAAGTTATATCCAAAGTTTCACAAACAAGGGTCACATGTCGGATGGCAGAACGACAAACTTTTACAACCTAAACAGAGAGCATCGGTTAGGAGAGACAACAGGTACGTTTATACTGAAACAAAGTGTTGATAAAGACTGTCTGGAAGAGAGGACAGGAAAGAAAGATCTGCAGGAGCTCATTTCTAACTTGTAAATTTGTAGAAAACAGGGAAACATTTCAGGATTTAAATAATCATTCAAGATTTAGATATTTTTACAGTTTGTATACACTTTGATATTTTTTGCCACACAGTTCACCCCTACTACAGAGGTTTCAGGTTTAAAAACTGATAATGATTTGTATTGTTATTTTGCCTGTTAAAGGAATATTTAATGATATGTTGAGCCTGTGTAGTCCTCCCACCTGTCCAGCTCTGCCTCGAGCTGGCAGTAGGCAGCATATGCCACGATGTTCTCCTGTCCACATCGCTCCGTGGTCACGCCGCTGACGTAAAGCACAAAGTCAGAGCCCTCCACCCCGGGGCCATCCGAGGGTCCAGTGGGGCCACATGACTTTCCAGATTCACTGCATATCTTGCATTGCTGAAAAAAAAATTAAAACACCCAACATGAGTGTAGCAGTAATAACAGGAAAGCAGGAAAGCTTCTCCTCTGTCTACAGTAACTGTAATCTGATTATTAACCCTTTAATCCTCTCCTAATGTAAACGCTTTCTTCTCAAGAGCACAGGCTGTGTTTTTCTGATCTAATTAATACTGTGTTATAAAACACAAAGTCATACAAGTCAACTGCTTTGGACATTTACCTGTATCATGACTCTCAAAAATCCATAATTTTCAAAAAAGTTTTGTGTAAAACATGAGGCGAAGATAACCGCATCAACTGTGAAGAGTCACTGAATTTGTTGGGTTTTTTACGTCCTAGAACAAATGACAAGATGTAGCTGTAGCTTTTAGTTCTCAGCATCCTAACCTGCTTTATGTTGCACTTTATAGTAAACTCATCAGTTTACAAGATTTTATTCATTTTCTTTAACAAGATTTACTTATTCAAATATTATATCATATTAAATAGGGAGACAGAACATCCTTAGCATGGCTCTCCTCAAACATGTTTTCTTCTCCGCACTGAGGCCCTGTCACACTAGACAATTAATGAAACTTTTTTATGTTTAAATTGCTAATAAAAGTAGTATTTTTGATCGGTTTGTTAGAATTACAGTATGTACATGCCTAAAAGAAGCTTCCAATTGATTTTTTTTCAGTTCCATCTTCAACGTAGATATCTTTAAAATTTTTATAAGTTGGCATAAGTTGTCTAAAACGTCTTAGTGTGACAGGGCCTTTAACGTTTTCTCTCAGTGAAGAAATATTTCAGAACACAATGAAAGTTTGATGATGATGATGGGGTCAAGATGAAGGAAGACAGGTGTGAGTTCTAGTGCACGAGGTGGGAGTGGGCTTGTGCTAAACAGGCTGCTACATCACTGTATTAGAAAAGTCTTTCAAAGCATTTTTAAACAGTTTTCCTCACAGATGGGGGAACACAGAAGAACATCTGAGCATACATGCCAAGCTATGGATTGTCTGTAATTTACATGGATTTCCCCACATTTTGCAGGTGTACGGATGTATAGAGCAGTGTTTCCCAAAGTTGGGGTCGGGACCCAAAGTGGGGTCCCGAAACATCAAGGTGGGGTCCTGAAAAGATTTTCTGAATTAATTACATTTTTGCCTTAGTTGTTACAAAGGAGTGAAGTTAGTGTATTTAAAATGAATGTAGTATAAAAAATTGTTACTATGCCCATGTTTTATTGACCTGATAGCTATATTT